CGAGAGTTTCTTGAGCTTAAACAAATGATAGAGATACAACTTTTGTGATGTTGTCTCCTTGGAACTATTGAAAAGAGAATGATTGTTAAGAATTCAAGAGCCAAGGCTATTCTGTTTGTGGATACATATAAAAACACAGTCCTCTCTGATCTTCTGAAATTAGGAAGTCCTTTTCAGCATTCTAACCCAGCGTTCCAGGTTTTTGTGCATCCTGGCAAAGAGGATCTTAGATTCTGTAGTATTCATTAAAAGTGTAACAACATATCTTAAAGTGTAGAGGAAGCTCTTTTTTTCTTTTCATGAACTGCAAAGTCATTTATTATTAATTATGGTCCAAAGTGATGTAATTCAAATTTGAATCTGAGATCCCCCCAGTTTGGTTCAGCATTCCATTTTAGTCCTCTCTTTTCTCTTTACAAGGATTCAGCACCAATTATAAATGGTTAAGTAGACATACTGTCTTTCTACTTGCTGTTCCCTTATTAGAGAATTGCACAGAGCATCCATCTCCTGTCTGCTGTGTGCAGCTGTAAAAATTGGCTTCCTACCTTACCATGATAGTCAATGAATCTCACAGGAGTAGTAGAAAACTTCTAAAATAATTTCTCTGAAAATAGCAGTTGATTATTAAGAATGGAAAAATCTCATTTTGATATGAATAACAACTGTTTAATTGTCCCAGAGCCGCGAGTTGGTCATTTGTATTGTCTGTTTATTGGTTTTTATTCTCTCTTATATTATTGTCGTTTATATATTCTTCATTTCCAAGGACTCTGGCAGTTATAAAACGTAACTATCCTCTCTAAAAGCCAACCAAAGCACATGACAGGAAGTTTTGTCTTCCTTAGAAGCACACAAATGTTTGAAACGAGTCTGTCAGGAAATCCCATGCTTTCACATGTGCAACCTGCCGTTTGGAGTCTCTTGATTGACTGTAGGTCAGGTTATGTATGAACATAATTTTGTCAACAAAGGTACCCATGGCAAGTGAGGGAAATGTATGGGAGGCAGTTATGATTGGGGAAGGGGAGTGTGAGTTTTAAATTGTAGGTTAAAAAATATTTCTGTTTTTGTGATCTCGAAGTATGATCCTACTGTCATTGAAAGCAGTGGTGACACACTTGTCAACTTGTGTGAAAGTAGGCTTTACTTCCTTGTTTTCACCTCATGAATCTGCTTGGGCAATCTTGACTTTCCCATGTGAATGCCTGAGTAGCTAAATTACATTGTTTGTGTCTGAAGTTTTCTGGTTTCCATTCTGAAATAATGCTTTCAGCCTCTTTGGCACATTTCAAGTCCCAAGTGATCCCAAGTGCTTTACGGACCGCTATGAGGATATGTTAAAAAAATCACCTTACCTGCCAGAGAAATGCACCTCTCAAGGAAATAGTCCACAAAGCCACTTAGCAGCATCTACCCATAGTTTTAGCACATTTGAATAGGAAGTAAGGAATAATGTTATAATTGATTGACTGCAGAAGGAATTATGGGAGGCTGGGTATAATGAGTAATTAAACCGGAATTTGGCCAGAGTGCCAAAATTGACGTTTGGTTTTTGCTTGCACTTTCTGTCATTAATTCCATGTGATGCAAAATGCCAGCATTGCTAGCACTGAAATTGATTTTAATATACAGGCCATGGTCAAATAAAGACTGGCTGTATGTGACAATATATTTGTGGTGCTGATTTGGTCATTTTGCTTTCTAATCAGTTCATCTTTTCAGATTTGTATTTTGTTTTTCTTCAAATATTGGGGTGGTCCTAGTCAGCTTTTTTTTCCCTTAAACTTCTTTGCAGAGTGCAAATATGAGCAGCAGATGCAAAGTACTTTAATGTTCTATAACTATTATCTTCTTATTACACAGGACAGTCCAGAGCAGCCATGATACCTCCGAAACAGCCAAGGCAACCGAAGGGAGCTTTGGATGATGCCATTGCCTTTGGAGGACTAGCAGACCAGGAGACAATGAACAACTTACAGCCAACACCACCTCCACTGCCAAAGAAAACAATTTTGAGAGCTAACACGGAGCCAACTCCCAGAGATCTCCAGAAACAGGCTCTGGAGAACAACCTGTGCATTGTGGCCAATCCCACCTACGATATTGACACCAACTGGGAAGCAAGCAGCGCCTGCTCTTCGGTCAGCCTAGAGCTCAAGATACTGGACAACGAGTCAGGAGATTCCTTGGACAGGCCTACAGAAAAATTAAGGGCAACCACCTCAGCAACTAACAGTGTTTCCAGCCTAACCACTATCAGTATTAAGGACCGGTGTTCCAATAGCATGGAGTCTCTAACAGGGAGACGCATCTCGCAGACTAAGCAGGGCAAAGGTGTCCAGAAGCCGCAAAGGCAAGCACTTTATCGAGGAATTGAAAACCGAGAAGAGGTGGTAGGTAAAATCCGAAGCCTTCACGCTGATTCACTGAAGAAGCTGGCACTTAAATGTGAAGACTTGTTCATGGCCGGACAAAAAGACCAGTTGCGATTTGGGGTGGACAGCTGGTCAGATTTCAGGCTAACCAGTGACAAGCCATGCTGCGAGGCAGGTGATGCAGTTTACTACCCAGCTTCTTATGCAAAAGATCCTCTCAACAATTACGCAGTCAAGGTAAGAGGGGCTTGAAAAACAGTAACTCTAGACTAATCAGTGACAAAATGTAACAACAATAACCATAACCTGCAACACACCCAGTCGCGATAGGTCCTATGAATATAAGTGTGTGCTGCTTGCAGCAGCACTGTGTGAGAAGTCACAAGATACAGGCTCTTTCTTCAATCAAGAACCATGTATGGCATTGGTGTCTTCTGGTTTAAGTTTTTATCTGGTTTTATTGCAGCTCCAAAATTATTAAAACAAAATTATCACAACTCTGTCTTTACCATGGTCATTGTTTAATGAAATATTGAAGAAAAAGATGTATCAGCAGTTTTTTGGAAACTTGCAATAACAAAATCCTTAGGTTCATCTGCATGCAGATGATACTAAATCATCACTCTTAGTTAGGAAAGAGCTCAAAATTTTCCATATTCAGAGCCATGTAATCAAAAGCTCTATCTAGCCATCAGTGTTGCCTTATTAGTGTTCAAGACCAGGTTGGATGGAGCCTTGAGCAACCTGGTCTAGTGGGAGGTGTCCCTGCCATGGCAGGGGGGCTGGAACTTGATGATCTTTGAAGTCCCTTCCAACCCAAACCACTCTATGATAAGCTGTTCTAAAAAACATTGGAACATGACAGTGCTAGTTTTGTGGCCTTTCACTAAACAAACAGTTGATTTGGCTCTAGTTTATTCTCCAGCTAACATATAAAAGAAATGAGAATTACTAGATTTACTGCTAATATATTAACTTATAGTTGGCAGCTGTCTCACTAGATGTTGTTACTTTATGCACTTTTGTATAGGTAATTCTTCTGAGCACTGTATCTCTACAGTTCTCAATGCTTATCTGGTAGGATGATAGTGAGAGAGACAGTTGAGACTCAGCTCTGTCAGGCTTCCTGTGTGACCTTCAGCAAATCATTGAACTTCTGACAACTCGTTGTTGAAACGGAGATAAAACATTTATTACCCAGCACAGGTGTGTGAGGCTTAATCGATTATTCGTTATAGAGCACATTGACATTCTCAGAAGGGTGGTGCTTTACAGTGATAAAATGTTGTTACCACTCCTGCATGACTGTTTACAAGAAAGATATAAAAAAACCAAAGGTAAGATTGGTGCAATTCTTTTGAAACTTGAAAATGCATCTTTTTAAGGCAGATATGTGGGCATAACCATTTTTATTTCTTTAGTTATCAAGGACCTCTTCTTGAAAAGATGAGAAATGAAATACGAATGTCTTATGGATGCCACATCCAGTGGTATAAAATAGCTGAGAACCAGACCATGAATGTATCTGGCAATCACTCTGCAGAATCAACAGTCTGGCATTACTCCGTTTGGGGCTTTTTGGTTTTAATACAGTGATGCAAAAGTGGTTGCTTCTAGGACCCAAATTGGTGTTTTTCTGTATAGGCAGGTTTGGGTTATTACTAATGTGATTCCTCTTTGCACAGTATGGAATGTGCCTTTTAAGTATTCCCTGACAGGGAATAGGTAGCTTTTTCTTATCTGCTGTCCTCATAAATACGTTTCCCATGTGGAAAGCCAGTGAGAAGAATGTAGCATGGTCAAATATGTGGGGTTTTTTTTCCCGCTCATAATTCAAATGTCTTAAAAATAGTTCTCAGACTAACAACATTTATTGCAGTGTAATAGGTGTGATGGTTTTGACAGCGAGTGAAGTATCCACAAAATATCCTTGAGCTGGAGGTCACCATGAGCTGTTGTCCTACGATGAGAGGAAAAGTTACTCTTGAAAATACCCTCCCTGGCACTTAATGTGGTATAGGAAGATGGGCTCACTACAAATGTTCTCTGCTTTCTTTACAAGCCAAGCAGGATCAGCGTAGTGGGACTGCTGCTGTCTTTTCATTTTCTTTTCACATACTTCATTTTTCTTTTCACATAGCTGATCGCATAATACTTAAGATAAGTTGGGTTCTCTTCAGTTGTATGTTTCTTTGGTGCATATTTTTATGCATTCTCTTCTCTGTGCTAATATATTGAATTATATAGCATTGTTTAAACTGTGGTTACTGGAATTTTTTTCCCCTAAAATCAGTTACAGTAGGTTTCAACCTTGTTATAACATTTGCCCCAAGTTGATCTTTGGCTTGTAAGTCATCAGTCCAGGATCAGATTTGTACAAAGTCTCATAACAACAGATTGCTGTTACATTAGGCAGAGATTTTGGGACTTTAGCTTTAAAAATATACCAGTTTTACTATCATGGGTATTTTTTGTGTGCGTCAAATTACATAATCATCTACCTTCAACAAATAAGCTATGTATTCCTGCCATTTTAAATCCCTTGTCCCCAAAACAGGATGGCAAAAATAGTGAGATTAAAATTACTGGTGTGCCTAGTGAATCCGAAATATAGTCTTCCTGTTATTTTTTATCAAGTCTTAGAAATACACTTTGAAAATGTATATGGAGCCACATCTTTGGGCAGTGTAAATTTATGTAGCTCTTTTGAGTTCTGTAGAAGTACCCAAGCAACACTTGCTAACAACTCAGACACTTTTTAAGTTCTATGATTTTAATATTCAATTTGAGGAAAAAATGTGATAATGGGATTTTAAAATCTCTCTTTGTAGAAAACAAGAGATTCACCCCCAAACAGCGTTGAGTCTTAATGCATAAGTCAAAAAAAAAAAAAGTTTTAATATTGTATCTCCAAAAGTAGAATTACAAAAGCACTGTTAAAAATTAAGCTGTAACCATTTGACTACTGCTGAATTAAATTTCAAAGAATGAACATTTTGTGCAGATGAATGTACCAGTGTACCTTTACATTCTGGTGGTATCACCAGCAAAAGATGCTGTGATAAATTTGTTGGAGAACAAGCACAACTTGTTCTGTTGGTGTTGATATTAGAAGAAACATTGTTTGTAGGGGTGTGTTGTATTATGCTTTTTTGCTTCACTCTCACCTAATCTGCTAGTAAACATCCTGTGCAAGAAGTTGCAGGAAGCCATGTGGAAATTAGTTTGACTGAAACATTATAAATAAAAATGATAAATAAGTCATGATCAGAAGGCTACTTTTCCAAATGGAAAGAATAGAAGCTTCCTTAGAAGAAAGGTTTCCATAAAATTCCAGTCCCTGAGGTATTTTTCCTTCACTAAGTGCAGTACCACCTTCTAAGTAGCTGGTAGATCTGGGACAATATGGATAAACATTCCTCTGAAACCACAGTCTTATCAGTAATTCCAAATATGTAGTGGAAAGGTTACATGAAAGTAAAAGCAACAGAGCACACCAGCGTTTCGTACGAAGTGGATTGGAGGAGTTCAGTTCTTAGTATCCCCACAGACTGAATAAAGCAGTGATATGACAGGGATCTTTTTTATGAAAAAAAAAAAGATTACTCTGAGTACTAGTGAAGATAATTACTGTGTCAGTGACGTAAACTACTTCCACTTTCAGTATTAAACACTCAAGGAAATTACTGTGCAGCGTTATTGACAGACACATGGAAATGTTGAATCAGAGTCCACACGGAACAATGCAGACATAACCCAGCAGGGCTGTGGCCTACAGCATGCGTGTTCTGGCCACAGGCACGTGTTGCAGTGCAGTTCAGGTAGGACAACAGGAACTACAAAGATGGAAACAGCTTAAAAGGAGCAGTTAAAATTTATTGCTTTGATTGCTACAGGGCAGCAGAAGTTCTTCTAGCAGTAAAACCTTAGGATTTCTGCTGAGGTTCATGTACCAAGTATAAGATAGAGCAATGCAGAAGTCAATAGTATTGGGCTGAATTTGGCTGGCAGTTTCCTAGTTGCAGCTGACAGTTATTTTCTAATTATGTTTAGTTTGCCACAGTGTGCTAAGTTTTTTGGTAATTCAGTTTCCTAGTGGAGCTTCTTGGCAGAAGGATTATTAAAGATTCCCAGAACTTCATGCCTCAGATCAAAATAAAGCTATATATGTTAAACCTTTAGCCCGTTCTGAGTTCAGTCACAGCAGCATAGAATTCTGTGTTTTGGCACATCGTTAAAAAGTCAAAGCTGTATTCCAAGGCCAGATCGAGAAAATTAGGTCAATCAGAGATCAAACTGGCCTCCTTGGAAAAACAAGGTTGTGCCAAGAACAAGCTATCAATTTGGGATTAGCAAGCTTTCATTCTACACAGAATTTCATTTGCAGTTGTCCCTCTACAATACAACCAAGTAGCACAGATGGTGCAGTCTTTGTGATCTTCCGTGTTTCTCATTTTCAGCACTTTTAAATTCATTTCCCACAATATTCATCGTACTTTAAGTTCACTGATGCCCTGCAAAATGCATAGGACAGAGTGGAAATGAGATTTCCTGCTGGTAAAGTGGAAGTCAGCTGATGGCACAGTAGGCTACTGGACTCATAAAGGAAAAATAAAAGCTAATGCAGAACAGTTTTTAGAAGCTCTGAAACATTAAAATCTTCATTAAAATCAAAAACATTAAAAAGCTTCTGAGGGATTGGGGGGGGATGATATTGAAATGGCAAGATATAAAGAAACCTGTCCTGTCCCTGTAAATGTGATGGAATTTTAGTTCATAGGGATAAACTAAAGAAAAGATACATGATGACAGTTCATTCCAGTAAAAAGGCAGATAGAAACTGTGCATTCCTTGCTACTCATGTCTCTCCTTTTTTCTCATTGCTTTCTTGCATCATATATATGGAAGGGCTTTTTACCAACATTGCTTCATCTTTTGAACAACCAGCGCTTTATCAGCTTTAGAAATAAGGCTTGCCAAGCCCTTATCAACACCTTTCTTTCAGCTATTATCACATACCATATCTTCATAGCTCAGCTGATCTTGTTTCATTAAAGCAAATGGCTGATTGATCGTACTTCTGTTGGTGTTTTAGTCTAAGTATTTTTACCCTTTTCTTTTCTTGTGCCCCGAAATAGGAATTTAACATGGTTTTTATGTAAAACGCAACAGAATTCCTGTTTTTTTTTAGAGTAGATTACTGGAACAGGAAAAAGCTTTAAAAATCATGCAGAGAAAACTGGGCCATATATTTAGTCGCAGTTTTGACATGGTATTAACTGTCACAAACAGAAAAGAAGCTCTGTATCCACTCCTTAAGCAATTCATCACAAGCAGTCTAAAACAGTTGCTAATGAGGCCACCAGATTCTAGAATTTGTTCCCTAAATCTTTTCAAATGTAAATATAGGCTTTGGTTGCATAACTTACTATAACTCAAACTATTTTGAAAATTTTAAATCTTGGTCATTCAGATGATAGTTTTCAGTGCTAGTGGAGTTATTCCAGTACAAAATGCTAGGGTGAGCATTATTACCCATTAATAGTATTAAACACTAGCATTCACTGCCTCTTGCAAAATGGTAATATAAAATAGAGTTCTGAGTAGAAGCTGCAACTCAGAAAATTATAAAATAGTACAAGAAGTTTGACAGTAAATAAAACTTACGTTCTATAAACTGTCTTTGAACTGATCAATAAGAAAACTTAGTTTGTCTCCACTGCTTTCAGTATGTTTTCCCCATTCTAATAAGATATTGATAAATCAGAAGCTGAACTCTGCAATCTAAAACCCCAGGACTTATCTGGACTCACGCAGCTGTATTTCACAGCAAAAGTCTGAAGAGTAGCCAGACACTTACAGGAATAATCAGATGCACATCTCTTTTAGAAACTGTTTTATGAATTCAGATTTTAGGTGTCCAGTTTGTTGTCATATGCCAGTTTTTGGGTGCTTCTTCTAGACAGCCTGGCTTTCCATTCCTCTTGTCAATTACCAAGTGTCTAGTGTACAAATTTGAGTGTTTATATAGTCAGCAATTTAACCAGCCTTAAATAACCCAGCTGTCTCTTCCACTTCTCACTTCATGTTGTTTGTAAACAAAAAGCAAGAAGCAGAAAATACATCTCTAATCAGATCTCAGCTCTCTTTGTAGATATTGCATGTGTGTTCCTGTACCCATATACTTCCCTGTATTAAACAAGAGACATAGAAGTGTCCAAAAGCCGTCGCAATTGGACACTTGTGGGATTAGAGTATTTTTTTCTTTATTGGTTATCTTTAACAGCTGATTCAGGAGGGAAAAACTGTTTTCATGAATGCAGTCATTTTAGTATTGATTTTAATCATAATACTATTTAGTCTTTCTGTTTTGTTGATAGAAAGAGGAGTCTGAAACAAAAGCTTATATTTAAGAACTGACATTGGGGAAAGTTTGGCTCTGCTGTGGATTCAGACTTTAGAGTGGACCATGCTCTGAAGGTTTTCATGAACCACAGTACCAATGCAGATAACACGACTTGTTCGCCCTGGGAAATATAACAAGGATCCTTCTACATAAAGCTCTGTTCTGCTTGATGCTGAAGAGGTCTTAACTGGAATACTGTATTCATTTAGGGGACCACTCTTCAGAAAGATGTAATAAATGGGGAGAATCCAGAAAAGAGCAACAAGAATCAGAGGGTTAGGAATAAAGATAGGAGGAATGAGGGCTGATTATTTTCAAAAAGAAAACAATGAAGAAGGGAAAAGTTAAGATTTTTCACAAGTGTCAAGGTGCAGTGTTAAAGGATGGGAATCAATGTGTTCTAGTATCAGCTAGGAGACGGGCTATCGCTTTAATTTGAAGTAAAATAGATTTAGAATTGAATAGCAGGAAGAAAGAGAAAGGAGAAGATTAAGACAACTCGCTTTCAGGGTGTTTTTATTAGGTTGGAAAGGCATTTCTTAGGAATAATCTAGCTGGCAACATACAGATCAGATTCACCTTGCAGGCCAGTTCTGCGGGCTCCAAGGAAAAGGGAATGGGTGCAAAGGCAACATACTCTGCCCTAATAGCTGAATGCATTTTGGTGCAGATGTGCATGGCCAGTCATTTCTAAATTAGAAGGGTGCATGACCACATCCACAGAGGCCTATGAAGGTTTGCTTTTGTACCACCACAATTCTAGGACTGGCAATATCTTTTTAAAATGAGTGAACAAAAGCTGATTTTGAGAGGTGCAAAGCCTATCTCCTATTATTTTAGCTGAAATTCCAGTAATATCTTTGAGACCCCTTTTCTGAAGTAAGTAGGAAAAAGAGGCTGCCTAGGACTAAAATTAGAAACTAGGAGTAAGTCTTGATTCCTTTGCTTTTTTGTTTCTATAGGCAAGGAGAAATCCTTTTCATTAACTTTGAAAAAGGCCTTGTATTCAGCAAATTGAGAGTTATTGATTGACTTTATACTCTGGATTTGTCAGTTAAGTGTTTTTAAAAACTCATGGCTAGATTACAACACACAAAACCTTTCCTACAGTTGAAATTGATGCTCCCCATGGCTGGCTGTAGAAGGCGGCAGCCATGGACCCGAAAGGCAGAAGACAAAACTATTCTCACTTTCCTTAATAACTGTTCTCCCAGCCAGATTTCATACATGCTGGTAGGGTCTATACAACGCCTTCCTACTTCTGTCTTCTGTACAGTATTAAGTAGTAATAAATCTGGGGACTTCAGTCTCCAAGACAGTCAGCTGACATTTTATTTTCATATACCATTCAAAGGTTAATGCTGTGGGTTTTAATGTATTTATTTCAACTTTTGTAACCCCTGAGAGAAGGGGGGGACAACACTTTCCATTGATAACTCACTTCACCTCTAACAGTGTAAAATACATTTGAAAATTTAAATTGGCAAGAGCCATTGTACAAAGAGGGTAACTATGAACATTTCCAGAAAATTATGACTTCTCTTAAATAAAATTCACTAGAAAATGCGTTTTTCAAATTTGTTTTGTTTGTACATGGCAATTATAAACAGGCAGTTCAAGCTATAGTGTACATAATACCTAGGGAAATTTAAATGCTTGTGAAGTATGGAAATATGCACAGTATCAAAGACAGGAGGACAATCAAAATAGCATTACTGCTTGTGGCTACTTTCGTATGACTACCTGACAATGCGCTTTTCTGACCAATGACCGTAAAAGACTAAATCCCCCATTAAACTATATGTTTCTTAACCACATAAGCATGTAAAAGATGAAAAACTTTGTTTGTTTTTTTAGTGAAAAGCAAGTTTATAACTTACACTACATAAGTTCCTGAGAAGGAGAAAAATGAGAAACTGAGAGAAAAGTCACCTTGTGCTTCTATTTAGGGCTAGTATGAGATGTGGGCTCCTTGCTGTAGAACTAGTGCTGACTTTTACTAACCTTAGTTATCTGGCTTTCTTTGACTTTCAGAGATGAAGTAGAAGCTGTAACTTCAGATGAAGAGAGATGTCTTCCTATTTTCTCTTCCTCTGAGCTTTGCAGTTAAGACCTGTTGGTGCATTATACCAACTGAATACTTAGGCTTTCACCTAAGATTAAAACATACACTTAACCTTACACGCTCTGAACAATCTCACTGAAGTCAGTAGAACTAAGGTTAATTTGCAAAGGTCAACACACCTGAGTCTTTGTAGGGCTGTAATTTTCATCAGTAAATGCCTTAGAACAGAGGCCCTAATAGACGATTATAAGCAGAGTGGAGCTGCCAGCCATTATGGCATTAATAAGGATAATTATTATGGTGATAACGTACATATCAACAGGATATTTCTGGACAGAAAATACAGCTCTATTTAGCAAAATAAAAACATACACTTAGGATCTTAACAAATGATTGAAAGCCATGAAGGTGCTGTGTTGTAATGAGTTTCCATTCATCACCTGAGCCACAGCAAGTCTGCTTGCCAGCAGCCCGCTGCCATGCACACATACACCCCCTGCCATGCACACATACACCCCTCCCTGCAGTCGTGAGGCGGTAGCCTGACACAGCTGCAGCTAATAGATTTCAGTTTCCAGTGACGGTGGGCAGGGAGCATGCATCCAGTCACCTACCTCAGCTGTCAGGTGGTAACTTGTTACGCCATGCTAACTCATGTCATATCCTCAAATATTCTATGCATGTTTCTTTGTATCTCCTGTTGCTATTGATTATTTTTATCTTGTTAAAGCTTCACACAAAGCTGAGAGAACATGGAATAAAACGATATGGATAAACAAGCAGCTGTAAAGTAACCCTCACTGTGCATTTACCGTATATCAGCTGCTATTCTGACTAAAAGCGCAAGCTGCCTGAACTGTATTTTCTGTTGAATAATATATGCACAGGGAGAGCTGCCTGCACATACTGGTCTGCAGTTGCTTACTATCCAATGGAGACTGTTCGTGTGCCTTAAAATAGTCTGCCAAGGTCAGTTCAGTAAAAAAATTTTCAGTGCTTATGTTTAGAGCTACACTGTGGATACCCATCAACAAAGTACATACTAAAGAAAAAAAGGATATAGAATTTACAAATATAAGAGTTATGTTATGCTTGTTCTGTCTCTTTCCTTCCCCCAGATTTGTAAGAGCAAAGCTAAGGAATCCCAGCAGTATTATCATAGCCTATCTATCCGGCAGAGTCTGGCTATCAACTTTAACATCCAACAGGACTGTGGCCATTTCCTTGCTGAAGTGCCAGTTCGTCTCCTTCCGTGGGAGGATGCTGATGCACCAGAGGTAGAAGAAGAAGAGCAGGAAGAAGAGGAGAAAGAGCCTGAGCAAAAGAACAGAGACACTCCTTCCAATACAGAGGCTTCACAGAAAGACAGTTCAAGCAACCAGGGGACTATCAGCAAGCCACGCAGCCGTGTTGTGGTCATCACACGGGAGGTCCCATACCTAACAGTGGCCGACTTTGTGAGAGAATCTGCGCCCCGCCATGCAAAAAGCCCAGATTTATATGAGAGGCAGGTCTGTCTACTCCTTTTACAGCTGTGTTTGGGCCTGGAGCACCTGAAACCTTATCATATCACACACTGTGATCTGCGGTTAGAGAACCTGCTGCTGGTTCATTCCAGACCAGGAGGCAGCCCTCTGAGCTCTGAGTCCATGGAACCCAGTCCCAACACGGCTTGCCCAGCCAGATTAATAGTGAGCAATTTCTCCCAGGCTAAGCAGAAGAGTCATATGATGGATCCTGAGGTCCTACGGGATCAATCCCGCCTGGCTCCAGAAATCATCACTGCAACACAGTACAAAAAGTGTGATGAGTTCCAGACTGGCATCCTCATCTACGAGATGTTGCACTTACCCAATCCCTTTGATGAGAATCCGGAGCTGAAGGAGAAGGAGTATACTCGTGCTGATCTCCCCAAGATTCCTTGCCGTTCTCTTTACTCTCAAGGGCTTCAACAACTTGCCAGCTGCCTGCTGAATCCCAACCCTTCAGAGAGGATCCTGATATCAGAAGCAAAGGGAATCCTTCAGTGTTTGCTTTGGGGTCCACGCGAGGACTTGTTCCATGCTCTAAGTACATCTTCCAATCCCTCACGGAGAGATGCTGTACTTCAGAACTGGCTGGATATAAAAAGGACGCTGCTGATGATCAAGTTTGCAGAGAAGTCCTTGGACAGGGACTGTGGAGTTATTCTGGAAGACTGGCTTTGTTGTCAATATCTGGCTTTTGCCACTACAGACTCACTTCATCGCATTGTGAGAATCATGCAGCAGCACTAGTTTGTAGAGCCTGTTGCTTTTCATGAAGCATCCCCCACCTCCACCCCAGCCCTCACTCCAGCCTGCTCTAGGGCTCACGCTTTGTGCAAGTGTCAAAAAATAGCCTGGTATCAAAGCCAGCAACTCTGAGCAAATAGGTTTTAATTGGAGAAATTGCATCCTGTACCAAATATGAGAGAAACTTTACTTTTTTGCCAGGCCTGTTAGGGATTGATTATCTATACATGACTGCATTTGGATCAGACAGTATGTAACTTGATTAATATCTGGCTGAAAAGGAGAGCAAACTTTGATACCACTATTTCTACCACTGCGGTAAACAAATTGCCCTCCTCTTCTGGGTAGTTTCTGTCACTTCTGTATGTAGCATTGGTTAGTGAATAGCAGTGACCATAAGCAGAGATGGATTAGTTGTAAATGTGAGATGAATGATCCACCATGCCACAACACACTCATTTGCTTACATTCCACATACCACACAAAATTTTCTCTCAGCATAGTCAGTCCCCCACAAGCAGGCTGCACTCCTCTTCCCTTTGGTCTCAACCGAGCAGATTCTGATCTTTCTCTTAACACTCTGCACCTTCTTTTTTCCTCCCCAGATGCGGTTATCCTGCTGACTGCAGCAAGTGTCAGTGGGCAGTAAGCATCAGTGATCACTCTTCCCTCCTCCTCTGCCTCTGACTAGTGACATACCCATATCCTTTCTAACTACGGATCTGTGATTTCAACAATGCTGCCTTCATCAGACCATTGCCCTTAGCTTGAGACCTCTGCATTAAAAAGCAGAATATGCACACTTTGTCTATCACCTTTTCTCCATGACATTCACCAGCCTGGACTGCTGATGCACTGTACCTATAACCACGTTTAGACAAGAACAATACAACACATGGTGGGCAACTGAAATTCCCCTTCTATCACAAAAGGCACTAAAGCCTGACTTGAAATGGATAGGACGTACATAACCTTCTCTGACAATCATTGCTATGAATCGGGGATGAAAATAACAGCCGCCTCTTCTGTTTTATTTTGGTCTGCTCTTGTCACTTGTGCCATATTGCAAAGTGGGATTGAAATTGGCTCTGCTGGTATGTTGGCAGGAGATAGAAATGTTTAGAGCTTGTCTGTGTGTAGCTAACGGGCCACATGGAGACGCTTTTACTGCAGACACAGTTCTCTGAAGGGTAAAAACAAGGGGGCAAAAACACTGTTGTTTAATTATTGAGGGAGCTGTTAAGTTTGGCAGCCACAACTAACAGTATCGTGATCCACTTTTCCCACAGCAGTGTTTGGCTGCATATCTCTGGTCTGTTGTAACTAGTGTTTTCTAATGTTGCTATAGACAACACCCTAAAGATGGAATGTTGTCCGAATAGGTCAAAGAGCACTGCAGACAGAGTTTTGGACTGGACCAGGAATTAGTGAGGATTAAAGAGAAAGAATTTTTAAAAACTCCATCTGAAGGCGCTTTTCACTTTTAGAGGCTGCTGCTGACTTCCTTCCCTGACCTACTGGCTGTTTCCTATGGAACCTCTGCAGTTGTACAGACAGTATCTTTGCTCAGTATTGCTAGGCTCTAAATGGTTTCCTGAATCGGTCTGAAGAACTGATGTGGATGCAGGGGAAAAATGATACCGAATATTCTGACCCGGCTGATGGAAAACACCCCTAGTTATAAGCCTGTGCTTCTCTCCTATGGATCTATGTGCAATTCTTGTATGTATTTTTTAAAGCTGTACGTTACAGTGTTCACTTTACACACCAGCCTTTACCTGATGCTAGACCTGCAGCCCCTTCCTTTACTTTCCTGGCACATAAATGCACAGGTATCCGTGTGTTCTTTCTATGGATTGATGTTTCATTTTATTTGTTAAAACTGTGAGGAATCAATTCACTTCAGCCTTGAAACAAATAGCCACTTTATACAGCATACGCATGCTTGGACCAGATGCATGGAAACTGAACAAACAGTCCTGCAGGCTTAAAGTCACCAAAGCTAGCTCTGGATCCACACTGTACGTTTGGAGGGGTTGAAATGTCTATATTATTCTTCTCTGGCATCTATCAGAGCTAAGCTGAATAGTGTGTGGAAGCCTACATCGATTGTGCTGTAGTATAGACTGTCTTTGTGACCTTTCTAAAGATTTTTTTGAAACTTCTGATAAGTATTCTTTTGTTTGATTCACCTGTATCAGTGAAGGATCAGGCAAGGATAAGGATAATATATTTTAATGTGATATATATTTTTTCTTTCTCTTTTTGGCAAAAAGGTTAGGATGGCGGCATTGATGCAGAAAAAGAGGACCATGCGTTAAAAGCCCAAGTGCAATGTATGTAGCTGAGGTACATCAGGAAAGAAAGTTTCTACGCTACTGCTGAGCAGCTGGTAGAAGAGCCTTTACAAAGAATCACACACACATTCAATGCAGCCCTGCTTTATCTGGACGCAGGAGGGCAATGCTCTCACAGCTTAACTACACCAAGCATGGCAAATCACTCGCATACTATCTGCTAGTTAATAGTCACAATGTGTTGAGCTACAAGTAGGGCTTCTTGTTCTCTGTGGTCTGGTTTTGTGTTTGTTCCGTAGCGCGTGTGTGCACATAACTTCTCACCTAACTCACGTAGGCTGTACAGGCAATCCTTGGACCACTTGCCATTGCAGTGGGCTCATTCCTTGAAGCCGATAGAAGTTTCGGTCTTTAAGGACATGTGCTCTCAGCGTCACTTCCGTGTCAACACGCACATGCAAAGTTGAATTTTGAATGTTTTACAACCATACGTATTTAATGCAACTGGTCCGAAGCCTTTGTATCTCTAGCTATCCAATTTCAGTTTGTATCTTTTGTGATAAACCAATACTCATTTTAGCTCTGCAGTATAATCAAGCATGGATAGATGTTCACTACCAATCTCTTTCTTGTGCAGCACTGGGTAAACTTTAGCAATTTGTAATGTTGTGTGTTTTTTTCTTTAAAAAAGAAAGAATGGTCATAGTAGTCGAACACAATCAGGCCTGAGCTATTCCTTGGGGAGCTTCAGGCTGACTTTGCAGATATGCCCATAACTGATGATTGTAACTGTGTTTGTGGTGGTTCTCCATCCCGGCACCAGATTGTGCCACAGAAATATACGAGAATGTATGCGTTAAACTGATTGTAAACAAATCCTAAGAATGCTACAGCATAATTGCTAAGCAAAAGGAAAAAAACCCGCTTTGTTTGTAACTGGGATCCTGTGTATGACAGGAACAAAACCCCTGGCTGTGCATGTTATAACTTACTTGAATATGTGCACAGATCTTGAATTTTTTTTTAGCAATGTCGCACTTTCAGTTGAGCTCAAGAAATAGGAAGAGCTGCAAATCTAAGGTAACAGTATTGACTGTAAATATATATTTTTCTATTAATAAAAGCTGTCCTTTGAATATTTTTAACATGAACTCTAAAGATTTTTCCAGTGGAAACTAATTTCTGGAAAAATCAAACGCTTGTTTGAAGAATTAGGATGAGTGGTTTCTGATCCTATTAGAGCCATTAAAAACCTCTCTAATGTTACAGAGAGAGCACAGTGATTGGATTCACAATGTTTAGTGCCTTGTCAAAAAAACTAAAATGTAGCTGGTCAGTTGGTGAAAATCTTACTCTTTTCATAATAGCCCTAGAAATAATACTGCCCACGTTAAGATGCAAAAGACTTTACAAAATTAAATGCTGTACTTTCTATGATACTGAGTTTATCTATTCAGTGAGATTTGGGTTTGGCATTTATGTGAACGAGTTCCTTTAAGTTGCTTGTAGTACAGCATAAACCTGAAGAAACAAAATTGTGGGCTTTCAAATTTGGGATCTGCACAGGGAGAATAATATGGGTAACAAGTCACTTGGTCTAGACTGACCACAGCATCAGAAGAAGCCTATTGCTTTGACAATCTGCTGCAGACACTCAGCTTCTAGATGAGGAATCGGATTGGTCTGGAAGAAGCGGTGAAGGTAAGATGTGCTGCTCCTGCTGCAGGTAGTGGATGTGCTGCACACCCTCCTCTGTGGTGTGCACTGCAAAACTCTGTTAGAACAGGAGTCCTAAAAAACTACTCCTGAGATGTTATGGAAAGTTGGTTTGGTTTGTATTTCTTAAATGGGAATTACTTACTAATTATCTTTCAAACTTCAGATCTGATCCAGTTAATATGCATAACCAGGTGAATATAAAGAGAATCTACTAGTAAAAACTTGCCTACAAATTTTCAGGAATGTGGGAATCCAGAATTTTATTCTGGAGCCTCTGGAATGTCCAGATATAGAAGCCTGGTCTCACTTCAGTGTTCAGACATGATGAAATCAGTAACTCAAGCTAGGATATAATGTTGCTGGCCCATACGTTCCACCTTAAATCTTTCATGCTCCACACACCCTGGCAGCACCCACAAGGTATGAATGGATCATCTTGACATTTTAACACAGAGGAATTCCCATATATTAGAGAGAAAAAATATATTATTTAAATAAATCACATGTTTGTTAGGGTTCAGCTACTTGGAGAATTTATTCAGCACCTTCACACTGTAGGTCCTTAACTTTAGCATGTAAAAATAGTATTTGCTGCTGAAATAAAATGTGTCTGTTTCTCAATTCTTATGCTGAGATGCCCCATCTAAATTAATTTTTTGTTTGTAATAGCAATTAAATTGATATGTAAATATAAATTAAATAGTCCTGTTTTTATTTAAATCAATTGTAACTTTTCAGAGGTATACAATGGAAACCGAATGAGACCGTTTAATGCACTTTCCTTTCCCCCTTTCCCCAAATAGGAATTAAGCTGTTTCTCTGTAGAAGCAGTACCTGGCCATTATTCCCTGCATGACTAGGCCATCTATTTTACTCTGATTTTGCAGAGGTAGTGTTGGTTCTGCTGAAACTCCTGTAAAACTTAGAGCACAATTGGAGCCCTTCAGTCCACGTAGAGAGAGATGTGATGTTGATTTAGTTGTGCAG